CCAAGCAAATATGTGCATTTAATCCAGTACAAATTTACAAAACTACAAATCGTAGTTTTACACAGTCATAACTGTGGAGTGAATGCCTTTTGTAATTGGCTGAACCCAGATTTCCCTTAGTAACAGCGCTCCTGTTTATATAAAACCTGCTAACAGACAAGAACATTTGTCTTTGGGGACTGCAAGACAAGACGTATGCCGCTCAAGTGGAGTATGACTTGACACAGTTCCTCTATACAGGTCTAACATCAGCAATGACATTTGTGTCTTTTCTGTTTCCTTTTCACTCTCATGCTTGCTGTACACTGTTTGTTACTGTTACTGAGTATGGCACCTGGTGTGTAACCCTTTTTAAAACCTTTAATTCTACGAGTTTAACATGGAACTTGCCCGAGTTTACATGTTTACAAGAGTCTTTACTCCCGTAAGGCGGCTCTGGTAACACAGGCCTGATACCATCTGTCTCACGCATCTGTGTGATCAGTTAATAACTGGAATGAAAACTAATTACAGAACTCAAAACTTGAATTTGCCATGACAAGGTAAGATGCACCTTTATGTATGGTTCTTTGAGAGCCTTCTGACTGAAACTTTAGCATTAGCTAGAAGACAGTGACTAAGAAAACCTATTAACCCTTGTAGTTACTGAATAATAAGCCTTAGTATGAAATAAACTTGGAAGGGGTTAAGGGGTTAGGTTATAGCCTTAACTGATAGTGCTAATTAAAAGTAATATGCCATCAAGCCAGCCAAAATGGAGAAGAATTATTTTGCACCATTTTTGTCCCTCAATATCATATCTAAAATTAATAACGATGTGAAGTATTGAGCAAAAGTAGAAAACATATATTTTGCAAAAAATACACAAAACACAACAAAGCCTAATATCAAATCTATAGCATTTAATTATATATATATATATATATATATATATATATATATATATATATATATATATATATAAAACAGGAGTTTCCAAAATTACAGTTCAGAGCATTATTTAAAGATATATAGAGATTGGGACTCTTAACAATCGTGCTACATCTGGTAGACCACCAAAAACGTCAGCATCAGGTAAACAAATTAAAGCTTTCAAAACAGGAGAAAACCTATGAGTCTGAAAGCATGTATAGCTGTCAAGAAGCTATTAGTAAGAAAAGGAAATAGAGAAGAAAAATATGCACCAGAACACCAAAACTGGGTTTTGTGGGTCAATGAGAGATGTATTTGTTAATTTGTTGAAGTATAAAAGGCAACCAGCCTGTAAGACTGAACTTCAGAGGTGTGGAAAAATATCCCTGCAGATTTCTTTGAAAAACTGAAAGAAAGTCTACCTAAAATAATGGATGCTGTAATAACAGCAACGCATGGAAAAAATAAATACTGAAAATTTTGACATTATATCCAGTTGTTGAGGCCTCTGTGAGATTTCCTTTTAATGCTTTCCTTTTTATGCTTTCTGCTTTTTTTCCTGACACTGAAAAATAAATATTTAATAAAGAATGGAAATTAAGTAAATAAAACAGGTGGTCTCTGACTTTTGCAAAGTACTTAAGGCTCAGAAACATTAGCAGTTCATGCCTCAAAACAACTGGAAAATACTCATGTCAGATTAAAACTGCAGTGTTAAATAAAATTAATAGATTATAGGCTATTAAAGAAAAAAATCTGTGGTATAAACAGAGGTGTGCAACCCCATTTATTTCGAATGCACCCATAATGATTTTGTTCTTGAACCTGACCTTTGATCCTTAAGCTGCTTGGCAACCATAGCTGTTAATGAAATACACTGCTTGGTGGAAGAACTGTTATTAATATAAAATACTACAGTATTTTGGCATACTGTATTTTGTAGCTGTTTTATAAAAGCTATTTGTGTCGAGCCTAACAACAAACGCACTGTACGACATGGCCTCCCGTGGCTTACTGCTTCATTAGAAACAAATTTCAAGCATTTACCCATAAGCCCGTCTTCAGCAGGCAACAGAAGAAACATCAAAAACCACTGTGCGAGGCCCAGCTGAGTTGTTCACAAGCTTTCTATGAGGGAGAACAGTGTGTCTCTACTCTTATGGGAATCTGTGAAGAACTAATGTGAAGAAGAAATGTGTGAGTTGCTCTTCCTCTTTCACTCATGTCAAAATAGTGAGTAAGGCTTTGTTACAAGACACTCTTGTACAGTCAAACAAGCCACCCAATGTTTTTTTTTTTATGACCAAGATGTCGTCTGTGTCCCAATCAAATTGAAAAAAGGAGTCTTTTGTTCCACACTTCCATTTCTGTTTTTTTCATGCCCCCTTCTTTCATCAGCTTTCACTTTGTTCTATTGTTTTTACCTCACATGTTCTTTGTTCGGTTTCTCTCACATTTGTTTGGTAGCTCTGTCTTAAGACATTCACATCTCTTTCTCCCTTGCTTCTCCACCTCCTTTTCTCTCTCTCTCTCTCTCTCTCTCTCTCTCTCTCTTTCTCCTTTCCCCTCTTCTCTCTTTCTCCCCCAGGCACTCAGTCCAGTGTCAATCGCTCTCCATCTGCCATGTGTGGCATACAGCAGGCGGGCAAAGCAAGGCTCTTGGCACATGCATTAAGGGATTCAGGGAGAGAGAGAAAGAGAGAGTGGGGGAGTAAGAGAGAGCGAGAGAGAGAGAGAGAGAGAGAGAGAGAGAGGGAAAACGGTAGAGGAGAATGACTCAACATAGTCTAAATCTGCAGGCTGAAGAAGCACGGCAAGAGGCATACAGATGTGGGCTTATTGCGCAAGTACAAAATCATCCAAACAGACAGTAAAGCACTTAGATAATAGTCTTGCATATAAAAGAAACATTCTTGATTTTGTAGCTGCAAGAATAAACTTGATTTCTGTTCATTGGCCCTGGTTCCTTGGTCCAATACAAGTCATTTGCTTCCTTAGTTTGGCACTGGAGTCATGAGGCTGATGTAGCTAGCATGCAATGGAACTCAATTATAGAACCCTATTTCTAAATCATTACACCACATCAAGTCATCTCAAATAGACATGCTTATGTGGTTTCCACCACGATATGGAAAGACTGAGAGAAAATCTCCTGAAAACAATGGAAGCTGTAATAAAGGCAAAGCGAGGACACACTAAATACTTAAATTCTGACATTATATTTAGTTGTTGAGGCTTCTGTGAATTTTTTTTTTACTTATGCTTTCTGCTTTTTACCTGACACTGAAAAATAAATATCATAATTAAAGTCAATTTTGACTGGAAATTAATTAAATAAAAGGGTGGTCTCTGACTTTTGCACAGTACTCATACACATAAGCAGTTTATGTCTCAAACCAACTAGAAAATACCTGTGTCAGATCAAAACTGTAATGTTAAATAGAACAAAGATTATAGGCTATACAATATCAATTGTATAAGTGGATGTGTGCAACCCCATCTATTTCTAAAGCACCTGTAATAATTTTGTTTTACTTAAAAGCCAATCTTAAATCTTATTAGCGCTTAGTTGTCAAGATGACATTTGCACTCTCCACTGAATGAAAGAGGGAAAACACAGATAGCAGAAACTATGGTACAGTGTTGTGCACGACTAAAAAGGTAAAAAATACGGGAACATTACCCTTTAACATTGTCTACAAAGATGGTTTCCTGTAAGATGTGTAAAACTAAGCTGATTTTCAATGGAGGCGTAAGTGTCGTGTAAGGATTTAACAGCAGAAAATCTCAGCACGGTGAGTAAACCATAGTAAAACTGTAGTGAAAAGTGCTGTCTGCGTTTCAGTGAGTTCTGTTTTGGTTTAGCAAATAAACACCGTCGGCTGAATGCAAGAGCTAAATTATACTTACTTGTTGCTACACCTGCTCATCCAAAAAGAAACAGATATTTTTTTAAAGCATACTTTCTTTCTCTGTATTTTGACCTCTTGCCCACATGGAAATGGTGTTTTAGGTCACTGAAAATAGAAAATGCTCTCCTCAGTTTTCTGTGTTTCATACGGAGAGATGTTTTTGAAAATGTTGACATGTTTATTGCTATTTCACAAGTGGTAAACATGCTTTGTGTTCCTGTATGTCTCACACTGCTGAGAACCTGGCTGTTTCTGTGAGGTCTGTAATATCAGGTTTGATTCAATGATGGTAATGACCACAAAGTATATTTACCTTATCATTAGAGGAGAAATAATTTGAATTGCAGTGCAAAGTTCTTAGAGAATTAAACTACCTTCATAATAGTCCTTGGACTGTCATGTAAGGTTTGTTCGTGCATTGTATTGTTAAGTAAAACAGCATTTCGAGGACAATGCAGAAGGCATCTTGTGGTACTGTTGATATTGATAAAAGTATTATTTAGAACATAGGGTAGGTGTTTTATGTTTAAAAGAGGACAAAAGGAGCAATAATCCTTGTATTTTTAGTTTGTTGAAAGAAACATTGTGTACTGGCCACACTTTTTTCCCCAATTAACCTATTTTGGAAATTTTTGTTACTTGCAGCCCTACACCTGATTGCCTTCAGAAGTAACTCAATGAGCCCTTTGTGAGTTGAATTAGGTGTCCTAGATCTTAGAAAGCATTAAAGTTGGCTGTACTGTGGCCATCCACAACTGAAGTATTGTACTTGGCAGTACCAAAATGAAGGCATGTGCAAACCAGAGCTGAGAATTCATGAAGTATCTGCCACGAGTCCACATCAAATCACAAAGATATGAAGTAAATTTCATATCTGTATATCACATCAACTCATTTCACCAAGAATACAATACCACACAGTGTCCATGGTAACTGCAGGGGCCACTAAGTTGTTATCAGGTAACTGCATTTCTCAACAGCACTGCAACACCATGATTGTTTGTGTTTACATACACAATTCGATCTCTCACAGTACAACATCCTCAACTGATCCAGTAAAGTCTCTTATTAATCGGAGCTGTAAGGGTCTTGTATTATGATAAGGATGAAAAAGTATGAGGAAAGTAATGGTTTGTAAGTTAGGAGAAGGAAGAAAAGAGAGTGTGCATAACTTACCACTGCTGTACTTCTTTTTCAGTGACTGTGGAGAAAGACGGAAGAAAAGAGACTGTTAGTAAGGGCAAACAGATGAGAAGTATATGGGGAAAGAATATTATATACATCATATATATTATACAAATATCATAAATGTGTTCAAATATTCTGTGTACAATTTACATTTAAACATTTTTCAATACCTGAAACCTTGTTGCCTACCATTCTGACCATTGTACCATTCTGAATCCAGAACAAAATCTTGTATCTCCAAAATGGTATCTTTACAGAAGCAGGAAAAAACTCTCTTAATATTTAATAAAAGTTAAAGGAACAATAGCTTAAAGTCAGTTTTGACCATTTCTGCTGGTCTATTCATCATGGAAGTTTCCCCTTTATCACTTCAACAGTGCATTATTACAGGGCATTAATAAGCTGTTAGGCTATGGTGGAGTAAAGTCTGTATCTGCTGTAGGTTTCCCAGAATGTAATACGCCGTTAGGCTACGGTGAGGAAATATGCTAAAGGGAACCCCCTTCTCAACATTCTTTCTTAGAGTTTAAGTGTCTTGGTGGTTCAGATGATTTATTACATTTTCTTAGATATAATCAATTTATTAACAAGAAAATTTCATGCTAATAATTTTTAGATGTTGCCCAGGCCCAATAGGAAGCTGTAAAAAGAAATTTTAGATGATGAACACAGCTGTAGATGATCCCATGAGAACTGAGAAAGCCGTATACCATTGAGAACGAACTTACAATAAAATTAATATCTAAAATTCCTCATATTTAAAAAAATACTAAAATCTTTTCTTAAAATACTAAAATTACAATAAATAGATAATAAATAACAATTACTATTTTTGGTCATGTATGAAATCCAATTCCAAAGAAGTTGGGGCAGTATGTGGAATGCTTATAAAAACAGATAGCAGTCTTTGAAATCCTCTTTGGGCTGTGTTAAATTAAAAACGGTACAAAAACACATTATTTGACATTTTATCTGTTTTCTGTAAACTGTTTACACACATTCCAAATTTGATGCCTGGAACATGTTCCAAAAATACAATATACAAGTGATACAGGTCTTCGACTGTGCTACATACACAGCCTTTGTTGTGCTTTGAGCTTAATATTAAGCAGGTCAGTCTAGCACCCACAAGCTCTAATTACACAGCCATGCTGTTGTTACAAGAGCAGAATGTTTCTTGATGTTGTCATGTTGAAATAAGCATGAGCGTCCCCGAAAAAGACGTTGTCTAGAAGACAGCATATCTTGCTCTAAAATGTGTTCAGAGTTAATGGTTCCTCCAATACACCCCTAAGACCATGACCACGACTGACCCTGGCTTTTGAACTTTAGATGGTTCTTTTCTTCTTTGGCCTAGGGATCACAATGTCTATTATGTACATAAACAATCTAAAAGTCTGACTTGTTGGACCAAAATACACATTTCAGCTGTGCATCTGTCCTTTTAGATGAGCTTGAGCCCAGAACATTTATGACATACGACTTTCGCTGCACATTACAGCTTTATCTTGCATTTGTGGATGCAGCAACAAACTGTGTATATTGACAACGATTTGTCAAAGTATTCCTGAGCCCATGTGATGATATTAACCAAAGAGGCTGGGTTTTAATGCAGTGCCATCTGAGGGATCGAAGGTCATGGACATTCTGTTGTGGTTTTTGGCCTTGCCTTTTATGAGCAAGGTTGGGTCAAGGTTCACCGAAAATGCATAGCAAAAAGATCCAGTAGTTTAAAAATAACATTCCTCAACAAGCAATTGCAAGGATTTTATGTATTTCACCCTCTATGGTGCATTATACCATCAGAACATTCAAAGAATCTCAAGCAATCTGCGTGCATAAATGTTTTTTGAACATTTCACAATATTCTCAGTCTTACATTGTCCCTGTCCCAACTTGGCATCAATTTCAGAATGAGCATATATTTACAAAACCAATAAAGCTGATACAATAAGACATCACACATCTTTGTACTGCTCCTATTTAAATACAGGTCATGGTATATTAAAAAAACACTGCTTTCCGTTTTTATTTGCATTTTACTGAAAACAATATATCTCCAAAATAGCATTTATTACAAAAGGAGAAAACACTCTTAACTTAGTTTATTCCAAGTAATTCTGTTCCAGTCATCATGAAAATTTCACACAATAAAAGGACAGCTGCTATGTTCACATTTGTTCGAAAAATAAAAATCAGACAGCAACGCTATCTAAATATGCTATCACAGTGAATCCACATATGTTAACATCCATAAGTTATCATTCTAACCATCGCCCCCCAACTCTAAATCCATACTCAATCATATGCGAAAGTTTTGGCACTCTTGGTCAAATTACAGGTTTTATTGATTTTCTAAGTGAAAATAAGCACACATCTTTTACAGAGAACAAACTTGTGCACATTTTGATGTACAATTACTGTTTATTTACTGAATTTAGCATATTGAAAAAAAAACAGAAAATGTGGCCAGTGCAAAAGTTTTATTTAATGTTTTATTTTAAACAACAAAATATGTACACCATTTGAACACCATTCTTTTCTACCACCATTCTGACTCCATATAAGTTACCATTAAACTCGTTAGTTTTTAGACCAACAGTATTACTACCTTTCAGAACTACAATGCCTAGTTTTGTTTTTATAGTTTTACATGTGTATAGAGGTGTGCTGTAAAACTAACAGCACAGTCTGAGGAGGAGGAAAACTGGAGCCGTGACTAGCAAAGAGCTGGAGCTGTCGCCTCTCGGGTTAGAGTCGTGTCAACTCAGCCATGTACTGACAGCCTCGGAACCATTACAGACACAACACATTTCTATCTTACTCCCACACACACACATACACACACACGCAGATGCGCGCTGAAGGCATGCTCAACGTTAAAGGAATATTTTAGCAAAAAATCAAAACTGACACATTTTTCCCCATCAGCCAAGACATGTTTGTTGTCCTAAGTTTACTTCTTTAGTTCTGCACTGGAGCTGCAAGTATAATGTAGCTGATATCTCCCCAATTAGCACTGTGTAAACTGCAAGTCTTAATCATCACACAGTTGCCTCAAACTGTGAATTGTTATATACATACTTGCTTATATGGTTTCCTTTATCTATGGCTGGATGTAGGGTAAAAATAATAGTAGCAGCTATCTTAAAGTCTGATTTTTATCCACACTTCTATTCATTATAAAAAAGAAGCAAGCTCTGGATATCAAACGCCTTGGGTGATGGACTACATTTGGGGTAAGGAGAAAACTGCTCACTGCTCACAATTTAGATGTTTACTGTAGCTTACTACTGACACCATGGAAAAGAACAAAGGTGGTGTGGTCTCACCTGGCAACATATCAACAGCCATGTTAATAATTTCTCATGCTCCAGTTGTCCCTATGAACAGCAGTCAGCCTTAACATGCCACATGTTCGGCAAACTTAACATAAAGCATAACGCATAATGCCATGTTCACTGAAGCACTGCATATGTAATGTGAAGAGAGAGGCAAATGTTGAAAAAAGCTAGTATAGTTTGTCTGTGAATGATCTGATCTACTACATGAATATGTGCACTCCACAAAGACCGGGTGCATATGAGTAAGCCGCTGAAGCTTGTGTACTGTGGCCTATTATCTTAATGCTTTGCATTGCTAAGAGAACTATGTTTCCCTGGCTGTGTCTGTGGTAACCCCCACTGTGTTATTACCCACACTCTCTCTCTTTCTCTCTCTCTCTCACACACACACACAATCTCCGAGCCCTTTGTCTGGGGCAGCAGCGTAGTCATTACAAAGGTCAGTGGAGTGTATCCAAGCAGACAGAATGGAGAGAGCAGGAGAGGGGATAAAGAGAGGGAGAGTTACAAGTAGTGGAGGATGAAGGGTGAGACCAGTGGAGGAGAGAGACAAAGGGACAGCAAATGAGAATGTGACTAGGTTTCATTGATGTATGTGGAGAAAAAAGTCTTAAAGATGGCTCTGTAGCAACAGCAATGATGATCATCTAACTACAAATTCTCAACACTAGAGTAAAACAAGAAAAAGACCCTAATACAATTCTGCCAACACTCCAAAATGACAATTACAACATGAATGCCATAAAAATCAACACAGAGCTATCAGAGGAATGCCTCAGAGGACTATGAGCAATCTAACTGTAAAGTTGCATCATATAAACATTAGGCCTGTGATATCTAAAAATAATTATTACTAAGAATTCCAATTTTCCCTGATGCTGAAACCGATACCTGATCCGTAAGCATCAACAGACACTAACTCTATCTAACCTAACTAGCCCATAAGTCCTGATATTTATACAATTCTGTTTTTTAAATATTTTATTTTGGTAAAAGCTGTGTTCTGTGTCACAAATAAAACATACTAAGCTGCAATTAAATCATTTCTGTTTATTTATTATATATAATTAGCATTTATTACTTTATAATTTGAAATAAGGTCCATATTTAATAACTCAAGTAAATTTAAATATTTTTATTGTGTAATATATAGATAAACCTATGGTGTGTAACGTATGCATTCAGCCGCTTCTCTGGCTCAGCAAAAATGATGTTAAGTGTTAGGACATTTGCCCCATATGTGCATCCTCTACACTTGTGCTTACATCTCTAAGTGTCAGACTCTGGAGAGTCAAAGTAAACGAGTTCAGTAAATGAAAACTAATTGTTTTTGTAAATATGTGCTCAAACTGAAATTGATGGCTGCAAAACATTCCACTGCATTAAAAACGGCATGCTTCTGTGATGGGTATCACCACATTGGTATGGGAATACTTTGACAAACCATTGTCAATAAACACTGTTCATCGCTGCATCCACAAATGCAAGTTAAGGCTGTACCATGCACATTGGAGGCTATATGCCAACAATGTCCAAAAACACTGCTGACTTCTCTGGACTTGAGATCTGAAATGGACTGATGCACAGTGGAAACATGCTGTGGTCTGCTGAGTCAATCTGATGAGTCAACCTCAGATTGTTGATGAAAATAATAGATGTCGTGTTCTGT